GATAGAAGATAATGCTCGACATTGCATTTAAATTTTTGGAAGAACAAACCAGTGTCCTGAACAATAGAAAACCTTCCATACCTCCTTTATTCAACCAGTTCGAGGTCTTGACCTCCTCTACCGACAAGGCTGAATGCTTTGCTCGGAAATTCTCATTTAATTCAACACTCGACTCCTCCGGTGTGCCCATACCAGACTTCCCTCTAAGAACTGAGGCCCTATTGAGCGGCTTACACATAACCCTGTCATTGGTACTGGGCATTATCTCCAATTTAGACCCCCATGAGGCTAGTGGTGGAGATGGCATACCAGCCATTGTCTTGAAGAAATGTGCGCTTGAACTAGCGCCCGCGCTGATTCTCCTCCAGTTCTTATCCCACGAACACAGGTGTTCCCCAAGGCTCCATCCTTGGTCCCACTCTATTCTTTATTTTCATCAATGACCTTCAAGACGCCATAGATTCCCAAGTTGGCATCTACGTGGACGACACTACAATTTACTCCTGCCTTAAAAACAAATCTAGTGTCGGTGACAAAACTAACCTGGCCATGCGTCTTGAAATGGACCTCCAATTGGTTGTTAATTGGGGCAAGAATTGGCTGGTCAACTTTAACGCCTCAAAAACTAAACTACTCTCTATTAATCACCATAGAGGTCCTTCCCTGCCCCCCATTAGAATGTCTGATAGTCAACTTTTTGAGAGCAACTCCCTGCGTCTACTCAGTCTCACGTTGACTGCTGACCTGAGATGGAATAAATACATTGAGTCAATTGCTTCTTCCACCGTGAGGAAAGTTGGCTCTCTGTGCTGCACTAGGAAATTTTTCTCCCCGGAATCGATACTTCAAATATACAAATCAACCATTTGCCCTTGCATGGAGTATTGCTGCCATATATGGTCTGGGGCACCTTTTGTTTACCTTGGAGTTCTTGACAAGATACAGAGATGGATATGTAATATAATTGGCCCTGATCTGGCATCTCGTCTACAGTCACTCTCTCACAGATGCGCCGTCGCCTCTCTCTGTCTTTTCTACAAATACTTTCATGGTAATTGCTCTGATGAGCTGCTCTCACTGGTTCCCAGACTCCATGAATTCAATCACCCTACGAGGCTGGCATCCCGCTCCCATCCTTACACTGTAGAAACTTTTAAATGTAGCCGTCTCTTCTACTCCAATAGCTTCATACCTCGCACATCTCGCCTGTGGAACACCCTTCACAATTACTGTTTCCCTGAGAGCTATAATCTCCAACTATTCAAATGTAATGTCAATCGACACCTCCAGTTACCTTGATCTACCCACTATCCTTCTCCTCATCCTTTCTTCTATCACTCCTATCTGCTCTCTCTCCAAATCTTCTGCAACCCCCTGCATCCTAGTGGCTTCACACCTTGCTCGGGGCATAATGTTTAAAAAAAAACCCCAAAAAACCTTGAAAGCAAGAAGCTCAAAGAGAATTCCACAAGCAAGAAATGCAAGAGAAGAAACTGTTAGCATAGAACTTACGGTCACATCTAGCAGCCATTTCAACTGCAACATAAGACCTTTCTGACAATCTACCCCAAAAGTTATTATTATTATTATCATTACCTCCTTCTTATCAGTTTTCGACTACTCAGTGAAATCCCTGAACAGGATGCAAAAAAATTTGACAATTTTATGTACTTTTTTTTCTGTTTTTTTTTTTATTTTTTTATTTAGATATGACTGATTTTAAAATGTTCTCAGAGTGACTAAGAAACACTTTAAGTAAGACAAAAAAAAAAAAAAAAAAAAAAAAAAAAAAATTAATCAAACAAAAAACTGACAATGTTAGGACATTTAATCAGATTTTGGCAAGTGGGTTGCAATGAGAACTTTTCATCACTCCCTAATATAAAGGGTGTTCCAATAACGGACTGATTTTAAATGTGAATTAAGTTTAAGCATCTAATGATTTTCTTTCTTTTTCTTTCAAATTTGGCAAACATTTGGGTGATATTATTTTTCACACATAATTGCCATGACTTAAATAACAGGATCCAATAGAGAAACAAATTTTCACCAATAACACTGATTTATTTAATTCTGACTTAGATCCAGCTTAATGAAACACCCTATATATATATATATATATATATATATATATATATATATATATATATATATATGTATGTGACAGAGAGAGAAGGAAGAAAAGAGTGACAGGAAGGAAGGTTTGTTTGGATATTGGCCTAAAAACCTAAGAGCTATATATATATATATATATGAAAAGTCTTTCTAGCCTACTCTCTGTAAGCTGGAGTAGATTTTAGGCCTGAATGTTATTGGCCTATAATTATATAATGCTATTATAACGTTATCAGCCTATAACGATTAATTAATATAAATTGAATATATGGATTAAATCCAAAAGAATAATTGAATAAGGAATAATCAGGCTATATATATATATATATATATATATATATATGATACCCTCTGATGAGTGGATGTAGTAATTCCCAGAAGGTCTGTTTTATGAAACTCTGGAGTCGGGAATTACTCCATACACACATTATATACACACATGCACAGGTAGGTTGGTAAATAAGTTACAAACTGGGGAAAAAAAAAAACAAAAAAAAAACTACTAGGTCACGTGTTTCGTTCAGCTAATGATGAAATCGATTTTATTTTTTATATATATTGGTGTGTGTGTGTGTGTGGGGGGGGGCAATATAACAAAGGCCGGTTTCAGTTTTACATGGAAAATTCCTTCTAGGGAAGAAACGTGTGATTTAGTTTTTTGTCTTCCTATTTTTGTCATTCAATTACCCATTTCGTATGATTCGTATTAATTTTTTTTATATATTCGGAGAGGTGCTGAAAAGTTCATGGCCCTTCAAATAAACGAATATAAAGTAAATAAATAAATAAAATATTCTGTTATTTTTGGTCGGATTGGGCAGTGGTCGGGACGAGAACTTCTCAGCACTCCTTCGTAGACCAGTTCAACAATAGATGCTTCAATAGTTGCTTTTTTTTTTTTTTTTTTTACCAATAAATTTTCCTACGCCCTCACCACCAATCTAAGATAAACTGAGATAAGCTGAAACAAACCAATAGAGCTAGAGAACCTTTTTGTCTTTCACCCCTCGTCCCTACCACTTGAGCCTAATCTTAAAGCAAGCAGATATTTTATTTTACGTTTAAAACATTTTTTTTTTCGAAACTGTGTACACCAACATTTCCGACGTGACGTCTGCGCTGCGCTTCCTCTCTTGAGCGAGCCTATGCTAACGAACCCCACCTTCCTCGCGATCTTGTAGGTTTCCACTCCACTGCTCCGCCACTGAGCCATTGCCAAGGGCCCCCATGATGGTGGTGGTTGTTGGGAGCGGGAGGAGAGATGGGTGAGGTGCTCGGAGAATCGTCACATGGAGATTTTCCGTGTTGAGCCGAGGAAGTATTTGCACGTCAAGTCGGAGGTGGAGGTGGGGTATCGTCAGAAAGAAACGACAACGACCTCGCGAGTGCCAGTTCAATAGTTTACCACTGAACTATGAATCCAAAACTCGGGCACATAGCAATTCTCTCTCTCTCTCTATCTCACACTCACACACAAATAGTTTGTCTGATGATCGCAAAAGCGTGAAACCCAGGGTCACAAACTCATGCTGGGAATAGAGTGGTAGGAAGCTACGTATTTCATCGTTGTTACTGTTTTAAGTGTTATAATAATATTGAGTTATATAACTTATAATTAGAAAGATGTCAAAGACATGCGAGAAAAAAGAAAGAAAGAAAGGAAGGAAAAGAAAAGGATAAGAAAAATTAAAGAGTGGGCGAGAAAGAACAGGAAGAAGAGCACTCCTCCATCGCCCCAAAAAACTAACGTTAAAAAAAGACTAGGAATGAAAAAAAGAAAATAAAAAAGAAAAAAAAGAAAAAAGAAAAAAGGAGGAATACATCCCCCCCCAAAAAAAAAAAAAAAAAAAAAGAAAAAGTAGAACTAGAGCTAGACGGTCACAAAATCGGGGATCACCCCAACCACTAAACAATGTGAGGGGCTGATAATCATAATTATGTTCTGATATGAAAACTTTTTTTTTTCTTTTTTAAAGTGACGCATTTTTAAAATTAGTGCGTCGAATAAGTGCTCGTCTTTCGTCCCATTTTCATTACTTACTTGCAGTTATTCTCCACAAAAGCAGCGTTTTTTTATCCTAAAACTAAAAGCATTGAAATTATATTGTCTTATCGAAATAAAATTTACAAAAAAAAGAAAAGAAAAAAAAAAAAAAAAAGAATCACGGGATTAAAAATTATGATTGCTTAAACAAAAATTATCTTTTATAGTTTTATTTTAAAATATCTACTTTTTTTCGTCTTGTCAACATAATCACCTCCCGTCTCTCACATGGTTTATTGAGGTTGCTACTAAATAAATAAATAAATGAATAAAAAAAAAATAAAAAAACGTAATAAAAAAGATCGTCTCCTTCCACACTAACTGATTTTTTTATGTATTCTCATAACGAAAAACAAAAGTGTCTGTTTCTTAGCAAATGAAAGAATTTAAGAAAACGGCGTTTAAACAAATAATTACACATGTAATATGAGGTGTAGTAAAGAATCTCCGCGAACCTTGCCAGCAAGAAAACTGAAAAATCGTTGTTGCTATGACAAGAGGGGGGGTCCTATTATTATTATTATTATTATGAACAACAAATTTTTAAATAAAAAAAATAAAACTCGCAATTGTTGACAGTAAATAAAGCTGTCAACGTAGTAAATTCAAGGACAGAAAGAAAAAGAAATAGGGAGTGCGTTCGTCCCCGCACCCCCACCCAGAAATGAAAATCATGCATCCAACGTGGCCACACCCTAAGCAGACACGCACTTGTAAATTACAGTGCGTTGGTTAAGGCAAATATGCCACAAGAAAATTCGTGTGTGATTGTCAAGATTATTAATAATAATGAGACAGATTGACAATATTAAAAGGTGGTGCACTTGCTGGTATAGTCTTGATGGTAGAGGAAAGGAACGAAGAACACGAGGTCAGGAAGACCAAGAAAACCCCTAACCGTCACCCTAGCTCTCAAACTTACAATAAATAAATAAAAAAATAAGCAGATTCCCACCCACCCTCGTCATATTTGTTGTTATGCTCTTGTAAAATTATTGTTACTGAACATTGACAATTTTAAAATGGAGGGATTTTGAATAGATTATTTTTTTTGCAAGAAAAATATTGGAGAGATTTGTTAAAAAAAAAAAAATAGTCTGTTGCAAAGCATTGTAATAGATGTTATTGGAGATATAAGGTTTCAAATGAGGTGCTGGTTTGGTGAGTTACATTATCATAATCTTAAGTGCTAAATAGGAATTTCAAAGATAAAAAAGTCAGCACAATTTTCTTCTCCATCACATTCTATTCATATGTATTTATCTATCTTTCCAGATCTGTCTTTAATAGTCATCGATATATCTCTCTATCTATATCTTTCCACATCTCTCTATATCTTTCCACATCTATCTATCTATATCTTTCCACATCTATCTATCTATCTATCTATCTATATCTTTCCACATCTATCTATCTATCTATCTATATCTTTCCACATCTATCTATCTATCTATATCTTTCCACATCTATCTATCTTTCTATCTATATCTTTCCACATCTATCTATCTATCTATATCTTTCCACATCTATCTATCTTTCTTTCCATATCTTTCCACATCTATCTATCTATCTATATCTTTCCACATCTATCTATCTTTCTTTCCATATCTATCTATCTATCTATCAATATCTATCTATCTATCAATATCTATCTATCTTTCCATATCTATCTATCTATCTTTCTTTCCATATCTATCTGTCTATCTTTCCATATCTATCTATCTATCTATCTTTCTTTCCATATCTATCTGTCTATCTTTCCATATCTATCTATCTATCTATCTTTCTTTCCATATCTATCTGTCTATCTTTCCATATCTATCTGTCTATCTTTCCATATCTATCTATCTATCTATCTTTCTTTCCATATCTATCTATCTATCTATCTTTCTTTCCATATCTATCTATCTATCTTTCCATATCTATCTGTCTATCTTTCTATCCATGTCTATCTCATTCTATTCATCTCTCCTTTTAGCTGCCCAACAAGTATAAACACACACATAAAATATAGAGTATCATACATTGAGTGCTGGTGTCGATAAAATAGTGCTTGATGCAAAATAACAGAGCTATTAAGTATATATTAATAAATATACATTTTTTCCCCCTCACCAGTACCATGGCTTTGTGTTTCATGCACAACGTAATCTTCAGGTACTGAATTCTGAAGATTGTGTTGTGCATGAAACTCAGAGTCATGCCATCAGTGAGGGAAAATTATATATATATATATATATATATATATATATATATATATATATATATATATATATATTATGAGAGTACATCAATCAGTATATAAATTGGCAGAGATGAATTTTGGTTTGAAATTTTCATTGTGACAAATATTTATCAATGATTAAGTGCATTGACAAAAAAAAAAAAAAAAAAAAAGGACTTTGAAAATAAATGTGTAAAACGAATGCTTTTTTTATCATTAGGCTCCAGACTTTATATATATATATATATATATATATATATATATATATATATATATATATATATATATATATATATATATATTATGGATTACTAATCACATAGGAACATAGGAAAACAGAAAAAAAATTAATTCCTTTAAATAATGTGGAAATAGCCATTCTTCATCTGAATATGGTCACAAGACCTGAAACGTGTAACAAGCTAACAAGAAAAAATATGGAAAATAAAGTTTAATATATATTTTAAAAAATTAAATAAATAAAAAAAAATACACATTATAACCAAAAACATTTGCAGCTTCTCTTTAAAATATATATATATATATATATATAAAATGCGGGTATATCAATATATATTGCTAGATCAACCACAGTAAATTTATGTTCAAGTTCTTACAGCATTTCACATTTCTTTGCAGAACTTCTATTATCACAATGTGTGATATTTAATAAAAAAAGGGATAAAAAAAAAACATGAACAAAAAGGAAAAGAAACTAAATGAAATTGGTTAGTCCAATGATTCCCAAACTTTTTAGGGTTGCCATCCCTTGCATACCAAAACACAACCTTAAAGCCCCCCTCCCCTCCAATGTATAGTCAACTTTTGATTGGATTTTCTTGGTGCTAGTATTACACCTCAAATGAGTCTTTTGGTATTTCCCATAAGAATTGTTATAAAGGGAGTTCCAATAACTTGGACCGATTTTAAATGTGATTTGAGTTTAAACATTTAATGATTTTTTTCTTTTTCTTTCAGATTTAACAACTTAAGTCTTTGGCAATTTCAACCATGGAAAGATTAACAATCAAACAACGTGTTAAAGTTATCGAAGCCTATTACAAAAATGGACATTCAAGCAGAATTTGATTGAGAAGTTCCCAGGTCACATCATCTCTCGAAACAGCAAAGTCAATTAGCTACCACAATCGTGCGACTTGACGCCTTTAGATTTCTTCCTTTGGGGTCATCTCAAAAGTAAGGTCTATGCCAACAAGCCAACAACAATTCAACAGCTGAAGGATGAGATAATAGGTCATATTGGTTAGATCAAGGAGCAATTATGCAGAGACGTCATCAAAAATTTTGACCATCGAGTGGAGGTGTGCCGCCAAAGCCTTGGTGGACATTTGGGCGATATCATTTTTCACACATAATTGCCATGACTTAAATAACTTTAATCCATCTTAATGAAACACCCTTTATAAATGGGCTTAGGTCGAAAAACTATCATGATGTGGCACTGTGCTTGCATATATGCAAATTATTTAAATAAAATGGCAACAAATCAGGGAAAATAACACTGATGAAATATACATGTTGTATATATGGTTAGATGTGAACTTCTATAACCAGTTGCCTCTGTGACCTAATCAGTAAGACAGCTGTCCTGGACAGACAGGCTTCTTGCAAAAGAGAAAAGCTTATTTATATCTATAGAATAGTAACCAGGAAGTTGCAACAGAAATAAGATGAAATATATACTTGTCAAAAATTAATGGCTGACAATGCTGGATCTGAGAAATTCAAGAAAATATTGGATGCAGTTTAAATATCACCTAGAACTCTTACTGAACCAAAGGTATGTGGCAGGATGGAAAGCTTTTTTGAACTGTTAATATATGATATGATTCATGAGTCTAACGTATTATTTTTGGCTTATGGCTACATCGCATTGAAACACTGATTCCCATACAATCACCGAAGTTGAGTCTGGTCAGTATCTTGATGGGTGACTGCTGAGGAATACCAGGTGCTGTAAGCTTGGATGTATGGGTGGTGTAACCGATTTTCATTTAAAAAGGCTCAGAGTTATTAATCAGAGTGCTTAGTTTCAATTCCCCGTTGGGTTAGTTATATTGACTTAGACACAAATATTGTTGGGGAAAGTATGAATCCACCTTTTCTGCCCATAGCTATGGGTTAATTAGTAAAACTTGTATCATTAAATCATTATTATCTTACAAAAAATGAAAAATAAAAAAAAAAAAAGAGTGAGAGAAAAAAAATTCTTACAATCTAAAAATATTTTGGAATCAAAGAATTGGAGTATATGGTAATAATGAAAAATCTCATTTGTCAGACATAGGTGGAAATTAACTTCAAGCAAATAGGCAAAATATTAAAACTAAAGAATTTGTCTTGGATTGAGTCAATCTACAGGAAACAGGAATCCATATTTAGAGCTATCCATAAAAAAAAACTAAAAGCCAAAAATGAAATGCAAGAAAGAATATATATGGAGTGATAAAACAGATTGATACATTTTTTTGTGCCTTATCAACCCTTTACAGGTTATTTAAAGCCAGAATATTTTTAGATTAGAAGAATTTCTTTTTTTGGAGGGGAGATAATTATTTAGTGAGACAAGTCTTACTTAATTAACCCACAGCTGGAGGGATAAGAGGTGGATTCCCAAGGGTATTTGCATGTGAGTCAATATAGCAAACCCAACTGGAATTGGAACTTGGCTCTCTAATTTTCCAATTCTGAGCCATTATTCATTACACTACAGTACACACACATCCAAGCTTATAGCACCTGGCATTCCCAAGAGGTCACCTATCTAGGTAATGACCAGGCTTGATAACTTCAGTGAGCATACAGAAACTGATATTTGAACATGTTCTAGCTGTAAGCCTGATTAAAAAAAAAAAAAAAAAAAAAAAAAAAAAAGCAAGAGACCATAGTGATGTCAAAGATTGGGCAAAAGAATTCTCCAAATAAAAACCATAAACATCTTTGATTCCCTAGACATCTCTATTCCACAAGATCTGATTCGCAATGTTAATAATAGTCACAAACTGATAACGCAGATTGGTTTATTGAAACAAGCTTTTCATTTAAAAAGGCTCCAAGTAGAATTCACTAATGCTTAGTTCTTGGGAATCTTTTACCAAAGTCAGAACTTCCCCATTGCAGTAACAACTAATGAGTCCATCCTGACATCTGTGGCAATATGCCAATGCAATTAGATAATTTCTGCAATTATCTATATAAATATGCAAGGACTCCCATAATAAAAAAAAGTCTTGTTACACATCCGATCTCTGTAAGAAAATGTTTCAATACTAATTTCAGCTTTGGTTTTCTGTGATAATACCTTGAATCTTAATTTTTGTAATATGGAACAACTGATGATAAGTCAAAGAGACATGAAGATAAGTGTGATAACCCAAGAGGAGTATATTGAAGAGGACTTTAGTTCTATTGCCGGAAGGAAGCAATTTTTGCATTAATATTAAATAGCTGCATATTTTCCATACAAACCGTGTGCTCCGATTTAATCTAAAGACGGTTTGCTAATAATTTTCTTCTCCTGATAAATAAATAAAGTGTAACCAAAAAAAAATAAAAAAATAAAAAATGAAGATTAAATATCCCTAGACATAAACAGTGTAAAGAGAACAATCTAGCCTTTTAGATTAAATAAAGGGTTCAGTTTAAAATACCCTGAGCATATGAAGTCTGATCAAAAAGTATTGGGACTGGTGCTATAAAATTTAATTTCCTTCGATGTAGTCCCTTTCTGAAGCCATAAACTTCATCCAGTGTTGTTTTGATTGATGGAAGCATTCCTGGAAATCTACTTTTGGGATAGCGAGCAGCTGCCTTGTTACATTCTACTTACAAAAAAACAAAGGCAATATTTATAGGTTTACTTATTTTTATTTGTTTGAATGTATTTTATCTAACATTATTTCTGGTTTCTAATAATAATAATAAAAATAATAATCATTAACATAAAAAGATTAAAGTGTGGGTTCACAAATTTAGTGGCATAGTAATTGTGAGTTCAATTCTTGGGTCGGGTTGTACAGAATCCTCAGTGGAAACAAGACTAGCAAAAAGAATAAAAAGATTAAATATCCCTAGACATGAACAGTGTAAAGAGAACAATCTAGCCTTTTAGACTAAATAAAGGGTTCAGTTCAAAATAACTTCTCCCTCCCTGAAATTTAGACAGAAACATATTTTATATGTTGGTTATACAACAATCACTTTATCACATAGACTAACTTGCTACTTGTCCAGGCAAAGCATGATCAATGAGGTATTGTACAGATTGAGAGACTGGAAGAAAGACAGAAAGCACAATAGCCAATATATAATAATAACAAAGATAAGGATATTAGTATGAATGTAAAGAATGATAAGTACTCATCTGTGAAATTTAGCCAGAAATTGAATCAATTCTCGTACCACATGCAAAATTAAGATCTCACTGAATAATAAACAGTTCATTTATATTCACAGTCTATGGTATTTAACAAGAAGTTATTTGAAGATGGAAAATCAATGACTTTGAAACCAAATTCAACTTGTGCTTTGCCCTGAAGGAAGAGAAAGATTTGATGTTTTTGCCTGCAGTTAAAGGCATTGATTAAGAGATGAGAGATTGACAGTAGATATTAGCTTTCAAGAACAAATGGACTCAGGCAAAGAGGTGAAGTTGATGAAACATGCACTTGCTGATATATTTGTATATGTTTTGTGACAGGTAAATAAGTGAAGCATTGGATCAATTTTTCAGTTGCTGGACTTGATGGGC